CCCCTTCTGTCTCGCTCTGTTTCTGTGCTTCCATGTTTCAAGCCGCACAGGACTGGGCCTTCTCCTCCAGGCATGTGGGGCAGGGTAGCTGTCCCACACAGCTCCGTGCCTGGCCGCCCAAGGGGGTCCTGGCAGGCTGGGAGCTGAACCCAAGGAGGGTCTCTTGGGGAGAACCACGTGTCTTGCAGCTCTTATGCGAAGCGAGGGTGGGGAACCTCACCCCCAGGAGGTATACAGCCCCCGAGGGCCATGTCCCCCTGTCCTGGCCACACGCTCTCTCCCCCTGCCACGGATCATGTGTGCTTTTCCAGGTCTGACACAGTTTCTGTCAATGAAAGGTTATGAAAGGTTCAGATGTTCCCCATTCATCAGCCGCGCCCCTACCTGGAGTACGACAGCCTCGAAACAGTGACTCATGCACTGGCGACTTCCCGTCTGGACTTCTGCAACGCGCTCTACGTGGGGCTGCCCTTGAAGACGGTCCGGATACTTCAACTGGTTCAAAATAGAGCTGCCAGGCTGCTGACGGGGACGGGGCGTTACGTTCACAGGACTCCAGTCCTCCGTCAGCTTCACTGGCTCCCCATTGAAGTCCGGGCCCAATTCAAGGTGTTGGTGGTGACCTATAAAGCCCTAAATGGCTTGGGTCCTGGTTACCTGAAGGAGCGCTTACGTCCATATATGCCCAGCCGCCCCCTGAGATCGGCGGGAGAGGCCCTTCTCCGGGAGCCCTCCGTGAAAGAAATTAGGAGGGTGGCTACTTGGATGAGGGCTTTCTCTGCGGTGGCGCCTAAGTTATGGAACGCGCTCCCCAGAGAGGTCCGCCTGGCGCCGTCGTTATTTGTTTTTCGGCGCCAGGCGAAGACCTTTTTATTTATGCAGCATTTTAAATGTTAATATTATTGAATTTTATTCGGCCAGGGCGGCTTATTTTATTTTACTGGATATATTTTAATTGTCATTGTTTTAATGTATTTTGCATTCGATGCTGTAAGCCGCCCCGAGGCCTTGGCAAGGGGCGGCATAGAAATGTTTAAGTAAGTAAGTAAGTAAGTAAGTAAGTAAGTAAATAAGTAAATAAATAAATAAATAAATAAATAAATATGCCCTCCCAGCCCTTGAGATCTGAAGCAGAGGCCCTACTCTAGGAGCCCTCCTTGAAGATCAGGAGGGAGAGTACCCAGAGAAGGGCCTTCTCTGTGGTGGCACCCCAACTGTGGAATTTGCCCCCCAGAGAGATCAGCGTGGCACCGACATTCTATTCTTTTTGGCATCGGGCCAAACCCTTTTTATTTCCCTGTCATTTTCATGTTGAACTGATGTTAATTTCATGGCCTCTTCCAACTCTTCTCTTTAGGATTCTATGAACAAATGTATGGAAAAGCAAAGTGGAACTCTGGGGATCTCACCATTTCCTCGAAATAAATTTGGGATTTTTAGAAAGGAAAGTCCAGTTACACATCACCATTAGGTGCTTGCTGGCTTCTCCATAATGCTTAAAAAAAGATCTATTTCAAATGGAAGATAAAAAGATCAACCATGGAAAATCTCCGGACCAGAAGAGGGAATGACATCCTGAGCCAGCAATGCCCAGCTCCCAGCACTCCACATATTTTTCCTTATTTCTTTCTTTATTTGGGTATTTCTAACCCATCTAATCACAACACATCTCTGGACAGCTTACAACAGTAATTCAATAAATACAGGAGTATAAATATCCAACAACCCAACCAATAATTATACTAATAACACAAATAGCCCACGGCTGGAATGAAACAAGATCAAAATGAAAAATCTCCACCTATAATGATACTAATAAAACTAACGACCCATGGCTGGAATGAAACATCAAGGCGGAGGGGGGCAGGGACTCGTGGCTGTGCAGAGGACACACACAACCCATCGGCACCGATCACGAAACATCCGTGGCCAGCCTCGCCTTGGCAGCTGCAGCATCCATTCTCCACGGATTACAGATTAAGAGCTCCAGCTGCTTGCCCTTGAGAAATAATTGTGCGAAAGGCTCCTCTTAGGTGGCTAAAAATACACTGGCTTCATTTTGTTCCCTTTATCAGGAGAGGAGGGATTTGGTGTGCAGCTAGTTCATCTCTCTCCTTGCTCCCGGATAATGGTGGAAACAGAGAGACATAGAAACCGAGTGAGGCAGAAGGGGTCTCCCAGGCCATCTAGTCTGACCCCAGCTCTGCTCAGAGGAACGCGGAAACAGAGCAATGCAGAAGGGGCTTCCCAGGCCATCTAGTCTGACCCCAGCTCTGCTCAGAGGAACACGGAAACAGAGCAATGCAGAAGGGGCTTCCCAGGCCATCTAGTCTGACCCCAGTCCCAGGAGGCCCCTTCTGCCTTGCTCGGTTTCTATGTTTCTCTGAGTGGAGCAAGTTGGAGCTGGGGTCAAACTAGATGGCTTAGAAGGCCCCTTCTACCATGCTCCTTTTCTATGTGGGGAGAGAGAGAGAGAGAGAGAGAGAGAGAGAGAGAGAGAG